ATATATATATATATATATAAATTTGTATTATCAGAATATATATATATATATATAAATTTGTATCATCAGAATATTTATATAGTCTACCCATCTAAATTCATACAGATCGTTGGCATTATCATCAACAGCACACTATTCGCCAGCATTTCATGCAGCAACTGATTACGATAAACAACAGTATCGAATATTGTGTGAACGATTACCTGGTTTGAACCCAGCACAAATCAGCATTTGCCAACAGGTGATTTCGCTTTTATTTCTTGAAACATATTACATGAAAAAATAAGCTGAGTTACAGGAAAGGACTTATTTCCCTTCTGACATTTTGTAAAGAGAAGAAAGTAAGCTGGTTATGTATTTCACAGACGAAACGAATCTATCAACAAAAGTGCAGCAAAAAGTTACCATAAATTGAGTCCTTAAATAATGCTACATCTGAAGCCAGAAATCATGAAGACAGTAAAAATGAATAATGATTAAACAAAACAAGATTGAAAAATGATAGTTTAAGTTTAGTCAGCAGCTTTTAAATATAGTAAGTTTTGATTTTAGTCATAAACACATCTCATTTCAAAGCTGAAAGGTTATTTTTTTAATTTTATGCAAAAAGGCTTTCAATATGAGCAAGATAGAACCTAGAAATTTCCGCCTATTAAACAATCAGATATTCTTGTTCAGAACATCAAAGAAAATAGTTGAGCGATGTACTTTTCAGATTTTTAATTGTAATATTTAGCAATGATTGAAGTTACCTCTTGGTTAAATCATTCTGATTTCAGAAATTCCTTTCCGTTATTTAAAAAAGTTTGCTTAGTAGTTATTAAAAATAATCTATGCGTTATAAAAAAAATGAATTCGTTCACAGAATTGCTGTATTATCCATTGTTATAAAATGTTGAATACTCAAAAAATAGCCGAAGCACGTGAATTTTCTCAGCATTATTCTAGCACCCATTTGCAATGCCATCAATTGGACGTGGTGCCAGAGATTCAGTAGTTGAATGCCAAGCGCAATTCAAATTTGAGAGGTCTTGTATTTTATTGAAATATTCCTTTAAAAACAATAAATCAGATGAAAAAAAAATGACAGAAAGGCTGGCTTCCTTCACCTCGTTTTCATCAACACGGATGGTGAATGAGTTGTGATGATTGTATCTTGCAGATGGAATTGTTCAGAAAGAATTATGAGGCAATTAAACATAACGACTAGTGGTTTCCAGGATTTGCTAGGTCGTACACTACGAGCTGGTAAGTTTTTTTCCGCTCCCTTTGTTGTTACCAAAACAGTATTGAAATAGTTTTGTCAATACTTTTCTATCTTTACTTGCACATTTGTGCAAGAGTATCATGGTGCAAACTTTCATGCAATAAATTTTCAACTTTCGATCTCACCTTTCACATAATTCTTAAGAACAATTATAATGTGTATTAGGAAATCGAGAAACAGCTTTTATCTCAGCTGTAGCAAGTGCAGGTATTGTGCATGCTATTACGAAAGGATGTAGTGCAGGTAACTTGACTGAATGCGGTTGTGAAAGTCAACCAGGTGGACAACGATATGCTGATATGGTTTCTTTTTATTTTCTGGACTGTTCGAAACATTAAAGTTTCAAAATATAATTCCTCAGGATAAATAATTAATGAGAAAATGAATCATGTAGATATAACTACCAATATTCCGAAATCAATGCTATTTTTCTCAATATCGGTTTTTTTCTAATTTTTATGAAATATGCTTGTTAGTTAGCATACTGCACTTTCGTAAAAAATATTTATAACTAGAACAGTTCTAGAGTTTTGATGAGTTCAGACTGAGTTGTATTAAGCCTAACTCAGAATATGCAATATAACAAAAATACATATAACCTGTATTATAAAATGGGATAGTATTTCATCAAATAGTATTTGTTCTGTCTAAATGGTCGCAGTAAAGGAAAACCACTATATAACAGTTCTTTCTTCATTTAAAAGTCGGAAATAAGAAATATGAGAAAGTAGCTTTAACTCAAGACGATCAAGTAGTTTTTGAAAAAGTAAAATTCAACAAGTCGGAAGAAAAATGTAAATAACGACTTTGTTTCGTTGGATAATGATAAAATGAGTCAAAATTGTAGAAATGCCAGCATAACCTGTTTTTCAGGATCACAGTAGTGGAATGGGACGAGACAAGTTTTCGTGGGGTGGTTGCTCAGATAATTCCAAATATGGTGTTCATTTCGCTAAGCAATTCTTAGATCGCTTTGAACGAGAACAATATGAAAAAACTCGTGATATAAGACATTTGATGAACCTTCACAATAACTTTGTAGGCCGTGAAGTTAGACCATCTAATCAATTCAAAAATCTTAGGCCTTACAGCAGCACTACTATTTGTATTATTAGAAAAAGAAATTTATTGAAAACTGAAGGAATTTGTTTCAGGCGATTATCCAAAATATGCGTAAGCAGTGCCGATGTCACGGAGTAAGTGGTTCGTGTGAATTCAAAACTTGTTGGCTACAGATGCCAAGATTTGCAGAAATTGGTGAAATGTTGAAACAACGCTATAATCATTTTGCTGTTCAGGTGATATATTTTTGCAAAAAACAGCCGAATGATAATGTTTAACTTTTTGTAGCTAGTCTAATAATTATTTCAAAAAAATTATCATCCTCAGTTTATTAAACATAAACGGTATCTTCTAAAAATTCGTCATCACTGAGTGGATAATCAGCACTTTGATTTATCATTCTTTTGCTTTTCCAAGCAAAGATTATGTGATATGCGGTCACAAAGTTTCATTTTTTGAGAGAAAATTTGATTTATCAGGTATGATGGAAAATTTATATCAAAAAATGATATGAATGCAGAGGCTATGGAAATCTGTCCAGATCACTTTGTAGAAATTTATTTACGATACCGTGACTAGAATCGTCCACAACGATGCAAAATGATGCTTAGTTATGTAAAACGATTTTAAATAGTGCGAGTGGACTGGAATATTTTGATGATGTAGAATACAGTTCTTTCCCAAGATGTAAAAGCTTGAAAAAGCAGCGCATGAACATTTTTTACATAAAAACACGATACAATTTACTTTGGAATACATTTTATTCTATCTAAATGTTTTCAAACAAATGCCTTCAACATTTGTTGAAATTCTGAGCTGAAAAATCTCAGTCTAGTTAATGAAACAGCAGATTTCTTAAAAAGAAACTAAACTAAAAATCAAATTGTTGCTTTCGTAGCTAAAAGTTTGAATAACATTCAATGTCAGAGACTCTTTATAGCTTACCTAAAAACTTTCAGGTAGCAAAAAGGGCGAAAAAACGTCTGAGAAGAAAGGAACGTTCTGAACGTAAAAAACCATTACGTGGAAATGAAATTGCGTACATTAACAAATCACCAAATTACTGTGAGCGAAACGATGCAGAAGGTGTTTTTGCCATAAATCACTAGTTTTGATTTGGAGATTGGAAATAAGCCTAGTTTTTAATAGAACAAAATATTTTCATTAAGGGAAACTGCACGTCCAAGTTATGTCTTGTTATTTTCTATTTAGAACAGAAAGATAAAATCAAAACCCAACACTATAATTTTTCTAGGCTAAAAATTAGATCTGCAGTAAAAAAATTAGACTTTAATAAACTTGAGTTGTTATTTTTCTGAAATATCATCAATTTCACAATTACCTCTTATTGAACATGTTAATAACGACAAGGCTTGTCGTTTACATTGATGATAATGTTTTGAAAAACTTCGTCATTATTGTTTTCTTTACAAGCTTTAAGTCAAATTATCAGTTGGCGGTCGTTATATTGAAACATAACAGCAGTTGCGACTACTACTAGGAATTGAAATAGCAATCAACTAATTAATGCCTCGAACTACTTGATTTAATTACTAAGCTTACAAATCAAATATTTTTCTATAACAGAGTTTTTCAAGGTATTCTCGGAACACATGGTCGTGAGTGTAATCAATCGTCGCTTAATTCGGATAGCTGTGATTTACTTTGCTGCGGTCGAGGTTATAATACGAAAGAAGAAATTCGTACCGTTCAATGTTACTGCAAGTTTGTTTGGTGTTGTTCTGTAAAATGCAAGACGTGCACAGAGAAAGTCCTTGTCCATACATGCAAGTAACAAAAAATTAATTTACTTATAAATAACTATAAATAATTTTTTACATTTTCTTCGCTTGCTATTTATTTGCTCCAACTAGACAAGTTTCTGTAATTTGTTTGACAAAACGTTCTGGCAAAGTATTCATTATTTTATGGCTCAAGATTGTTAATATTTCCAGAATGTTTTTACTTTATTTCTACTCAAACAAATTTAGCAATCACATCTTGATTAGGAAGCTCTGATTGAATCCAGAAACTGATTTTTACTTGACATTGATTTCAGTAATATGAACTAAAACATTTGGAGATGAACAAAAAAATTATTTAACTATTATTATTTATAAATTATTTAACTCTTAATGATGGCAAGATCATTCATACTAGTCAACAAATCGTAAAATTTATCCATGTATTATTTCTCTGTGAAAATTTCAAAAAATATTGCTCTGCAAATTTTTATATTGTCATCTGCTATCTTCGATAAAAAAGTTCATGAGACAACATCAATAAAAAATTTAAAAAAATCAAGTTTAATCAAGATTTTCCCAACAAATGAATTTTTTGCATCCATCAATGTCATGCATAGTAGATTATCTTTAAGCACGGCTACACTGCTTAGAATAGTTGAAGCTTAAAAATGTATAGTCTAGCTTTAAAAACAATACAAGTGGTAAAGCGAAATATGCAAAGGAAATGATTGAATTATTGATCGACTTGTTTCTTATCAAGTACAGCTACCTTGTATATGAATGGTATGAATTTTAATTAAATAGCATTGTTCATAAAAGTTAGCCTTCTCTATGCTTGCATTTCTTCTTGCATTCATGAAATCTTAACCTTTCGCTTCAGTTACACAATAAAAAATTGTGTAAAAAATTGTGTAACTGAAGCGAAAGGTATCGACCACCTGAGCTATACATGACAAAGCACAATAGACGAGGAATATCAAAAGCTGGCTTTTTTCTGTAAGATTTGAAAATAATATTAATAAAATTATCTGTAGTGCAAAGATGCACAGGCCTTTTAATTGCTTCACCCTCACCAAAACAAATGTGAAAATATCTTTGAGTGAGTGATTTGAGTTGAAATTACTCATTCAGTCTGGGAAATTTAATGACGGATAACAATTGGTTTGGAGTTGTTGAAATTCAATAGTTTTAATTCTTCACTGATTATAAATCCTTTATTTTTATATTGCGCGGTATAAAAAAGCCACAGCAGAAAAGTGTAAAATGATATTAACTTGCATGCCATCAGAGCAGGGAAGTATGAATCTACTAGGAATCTACAAAGTGATTTTCTTGAGTTAAGCTCACTGAAAATAGAGTAAACGCAGAAACTCGAGAGTTATTGTTCAGTTACAGATGCATTTTTGATCGTTAGTAATAGCTTCAACGGAATTTTTGAGTTATGATATTTATTCAGATTTCAATTTCAAATTTTGTCTCGAAAGGATGAAAAAGATTGGAAATTGTTGCATCGATCTTTGCAGTATCTATTACTTTTGCCTTTACTTTCTTATTCGACGATGTTTATTAGTAGCAAAATGAATGCTTCCATAACAGCTTTTTACATATATAACAATAACCATGCAATTTAAATTTTGCTTAAAAACATTTCTCAAGTCATCAAAAAAACTTTAGTTCTTTGTTTCATAATAATCAAATAAAATAGTAAAACGGAATAGCAACACACAATTTACCAAAATTTCTTGCATAATAAAAAATAAAATACAAATTCATCCTTACAATTGTGCGTTTAGATTGCGCAAAAAAGTTGAATTGAGTTACTTTGAGTTAAGCGATTCATCTTCTCCTCTTTCACGCTATTTTTGCTAGTTATTATTACGTTACATTATTTTGAATGCTTTGATAATGATATTTTAGAATTTTATTTTTTGTAAAACAACTGGTTTTTTCAACCAACAATTTCTAAAAAATTTACTTGCTCTTAATATCTTAGAAAATACGTCCCTGGTCTCTGTCGTCTTTGACCTATGACAATACTTCAAGCTGAAGCAAAATTAGAAAAGTCTAGAATTACATTCAATTACTCAACAATAAATCCATTTGTAAACTGAGCCCTTTTGTTGATTGCTACTTTAGCAGTTTTGGTATGCCATACAAGGATTTCACGTTCTTTCTAAAATTGAGTTTACTAAATTGTCAAAAAAAATTGATAGTAGTTATTTGTTTCTTTTAAAGTTGGCGACTTAATTATTCTAAAATGATCACTGATTTGATTTTAACTATTATTATTGGAAAAACTATCTCAATGAAACTCAGAATGAAATAAAATTTTTGTTCTAATCATGAATGGAAATGATTGATTTGAGCAAAAAGGAAAATAACTAGTCTTAATCGCTTCTTTAAAAACTTATAAAACAGACATACTTGATCAAAACCAAACGGTTCAAGATCAAGGATCTGAAGACCAAGATCTTCAAGAAAGCACGTTTCTGGAGCGCCGAGACCACGTTTGCATGATTTAGTAAATATTGCTGTTGAACTTAAACAAATATGAAAAAAAGAAAACTGGAAAATGTGCACAAATAACTTCATGAATTTTTCAAAAATTATCTCACAAATTTTCATGAGTTGATTTCTACTGTTATTCTATTTCTAAAAGAAGTAAAATGGTATACTTTGATATTTCAAAAAATATGGTGAAAAACCTACTTGAGAATAACATCTAACGATACAGCAAAGCCCGCCATATCTGTAGCAAACTTCCGTTTTTTATGCCAGACCACATTCCATCCTACTACAGTCCCATTGATAACCGCTGGCGATTCCACCAGTGCACCTCCAGCAAAACCTGTTCGTGTGTAACGTTGGTTAAATTTCTTGAACACTGCATTTGAGATCTTGAATTTCGCCCTAACAATTGCATTTTAGATGCAAACTTCTTCATATTAATGAATTTAAAATGCCTTCACGTTTAAGAAAGGCCTAAACTCTGGAAACTTACCTACAGCCCATACGCCAACTTTTCGTACATGTCTTATATAATTGTCAAATAATCGTACGTCATATGAGTTATCATCATCTCCAAAATAAACGATCGATTTCATAAATTCATTATTTATCAAGTTGAAATTATTACGTAAAAATTCAAGAGCTTTTGTCCGTTGATACCAACCACGACCTACAATGAAAACATTTTAAAATATTAATAATGATATCCATAATAATAATAACAATAATTATTATTAGTATTGCTAATTAATTAATTAATTTTTACCATTTTGTGTGAATTTTTTTACTAGTATTTTGTATGAAATAATAGCTCTTATTTTATCGAAAAATGATTAAATACGTAAAGACCAATAAACAATTACAATTGAAATGAAATAAAGAAAAATTAAGAGTAAAAGAAGTAACATTTATGATTCTGACGGACTTTGTAACTAAATATTTATACTGTTAAAATCAACTTGTCAAACAATTACATCAAGTTTGAGATTAATTTTTCTGTGATAATTTGCAATTACGTTGAGAAGGAAAGTACTGGCACAAAATTTATGGATATATAGAATTTTAACTCCACATGTTTTACAAAACTTTTGTTTCTTCTATACATATGCATTTCACTACTTACTTGGATAGCCAAGAGGAGTTTTAGCAGAAAAATATGTGTAAGGTAAAGTAGTACGATTAAGCAATCTTTCAACTGCTTTTACAGTGTGATTTCCATCTTCAATGACAATCCAATACAGACATTGAATGTGAGATAATGTATTCGCCATTCTAAAATTTTCTTTCGAAACTGTAAAAACTTGAAGCACACGGTAAGAAAATTTAATTTATTTTTTAGTACATAATATAATCACATCAAAAATTTTTTCTTTCTTAATTTGACTGACATTTGACTTCAATAAATATATAGGAAGTTGAAACTTTGGAATTTAAACTAGCAAGCATGAACCTTGTCATGTCAGCTAATCTTGTTCGTCGACGATAAGTCGGAGTTATGACAATTATTTGTGAATTTAAAGATGATAGAGACAAGGACTGTTTGATGGTTGATTCCCATATTTTTGATGATCTGAATACTAAGTTTTTGAAATGTTTACTATTTAAAATCTTGCTTGATCACGGGCTTTGATTGCAGTACTTTAACCTTTTTTGTATGCACAGATAATTCAAACAAATCTACTACTAGTTATTACTAGGTGTAATAAAAGGCTAGTTATAAATTAGATTGTTTGATGGCTAAATAATATTGCAATAATAATTTATTACAATCCTTTGAAATGTTTAAAATAACTAAGGCTATTTTATTATTTCATCAGAGGATGATTTTAAAAATCATATGAATTCTCAAAATGCAAACATAAAGAACGTGAAATCTAAGAAAAGTAAACCGAAGTTTACTAACCGTTTGAAAGATGAATATTGCTTAATCAAAAAGATAATTAATACAACAGCGAGAATACGAAGACACTGTATCATGTAGGTTCGAAATCGTGACCCACAGCTTCGCATGCAACGCAAACATTTCTCCATGGAATGTTCATTTGTAAGCGAAATAATTGACAAGCCTATTTCCAGTGAATATTACAAAGCATTAGACTTAAAATTATTTTCAAAAAAAATGAAGCATTTGTCACAACACACATTCTCTAGACAACGTGAAATAATCCAACATTATTTGCGTGTTTAAATATTTTCCCTACAGTGAGGATTCAGAAAATTTTCCTTCTGTAGCAAGCCTCTCATCAGGAGTAATTTAGTTTTTATAAAATTATTAACATCTGGTCTCTTTTACTAGATGCATTATCAGCTTTAAGAATACTTGCTACATTTCCCTCTGAGAAGCGCATTTCCGAAAATTATTTTTTCTTTAGATTTAGTAGAGATGTGTTTAGTGCACAAATGGTTTAGTTCTACAATTCTGCTCAAGTATTCTTGCAGTCTGAAGCTTAAAAAATATTTTTGTACTGCTTGCGGTTTTATGTGCATTAGCAATGTTTTTATAACTTGAATGCTTTTATAACCTCAGCAGTAGTTGAAATACGATTGATTTATTATCCACAAAATTTTGAAATTCAGAAAGCAAGGCAATAATAAAAAAATGTCAATCTTTTTTTATCATTTAGAAGTACTGAATCTTTGATTATAATTATACAGATACAAAATACGAGACTTTTGTCTCTTTCTAACAACATTGTCAATTTACTATGAATTTCAATCAGATGCATTTTGAAAAAAAAAAAGCAAATTTTTTAATTTTTTGCACAAACTTAACAATCCTTATCAGTTCAAATATGTTTTTTTTTACTGGATAAGTAGATTAGTGGAAAACAACTTCACAGCCGTTTTCCACTTCACAGTTTTATGTCCTCGACTTTTAAAGGAATATACATAAATATAATAAAATGTGGAGGTTAGTTTTAATTTTTGCTTTATTGGTTCTGGCGCTGGATCGCATTTCAGCACTCTGGCAGTTCCCACACTCAGATTTGTTGTGCTCATCGTTCTCACTTCGTCCTCGTGGAATCCATATCGACTGTGCTTTAGAGCGTCATCTTGAAAACTATCGATTGGATGTATGCCTCGATGTGGTTTGATATACTAATCTCCTTCGCATAGCGTTTGTGGAAGTTCGTTACGATCTCATCCCAAATCATAAC